ACCCGTACACCTCGCCGAGGGCGACTCGTACTGTGTCGTCCACGCGGAGATGGTGCTGCCCCACCGGTGGGTCGTCATGTGAGTGCGCGCCGAGGGACGCGGGGCGCCGCTACTCGACGCACTTCCGCACACGCGACACGCACACTCACCCGACAGCTCTCTTTCTTTGCAGCCGCGGCTCGGACACTCAGGGGCGAGAGTGCTAATCTCTCGTCGTCGCGTGAGCTGAAACGGTGTGTGCACTCAGTGTGTGAGCGGAGCGGCACGTACCACCATCCCGAGCGCGAGGTCGGCAGGCCGCGCGCACGGGGCGCGCCCGCGCCCCCGGGCGCGGCGCGGCGAACGCTCACGCGCGCGCCGCGCGCGGACCGCGGTGCCCGCGCGCGTATGTCCGAGTCTGATGTGTGTGACGATCGTTTTGCCGGTCGCGGTGTATCATAACCTGAACCAACGTACGGGATGGACAGCTAGGGCTCTCGAGCGCAGCACGCGGGATGGACGACGGCCGGCGTCAGTACTAGGACCCATCCATCCGTCGCGCAGCACAACATTACAAGTATTTGTGCGCGGCCTCACGATAAGGCAGGTTCGCATATTGAGACATCGGCGGCGGCGGCTGCATGAGCTGCTGCCGGCGGCGCTGACTCCCCATTCACGTGCTGCACCAGAGCGCCGCCGCTCAGCCGCCGCCGCAGCTCCACGATCACCTCCTCCTGACCCACCTCTGTTATCGGCTTAAACAGCTTGAACATGATTGGGTTGTTCTCCTCGAGCAGCGTCACCACGGTCTCGAGCGGGGCGCACCCGGGCTCGAAGCACTGCAGCTCGTTCACCATCACCATCGTCTCGCGGTGCTCGGGCGGCAGCGCCTCCTCTACCCACCGGCGGACCTTGCTGATGAAGGGCCCTTTGCCCGTTTTCTTCGTGCCAAACGTGATCATCGCGCGCCTGGCGCCGGCGCGAGCACCCTACGCGTGGCGGCGCACAGGCGCAGCGCGAGGAGAGGCACCTTGCGCTAAAAGCTGTGTGAGTTTGCTGTGAACATTCACAGAAGATCCAAGAAACATACACACATCCAGAAGGAAACGCCACGAGTCCCACGGAAGGCTAGCGCGACACCGCCTCTAAGCGCGACACCTCCTCTAGTCTCTACATGTAACGCTGGCGCAAGCCGGGAGCAGAGCGCTCACTCACTCACTCAGCGGACGGGCAGGGCCAAGAGCAAGACCCAAGTAAGGTATGGGCGAGGTATGAACGTATCGGGGTATCTATTTCCATCGTCGGGGCAGGCAGGTAAATCTCCTGCTGTTGGTGTTGCGCCAGGTGGTCGAGGACAGACACGTCCCCACCTTTGCAGGATTTTGCAAAAATAGAGACAACCAACGGGTATGCATAAAGTTTCTTTTCACACGGCTTCTGAGGAAGCCGTCGCCCGCGCCTCGCCTGTCGCGTGAATCGTGTATAAATAAATAAAACGGACACACCAAACAAGGGGTGGGAGAAGGACAGGGTCCCCACCTGCGCGAGCAGGATCTTGTAAGGACGATCAGGGACACAGGGTGGGAGGAACGGGACCGCGACGGGAGCGGGGAGCGCATCGCGTCACGGACGGAGGGGGCTGGGCAGGGTTCACCCACACGACAGGGTCCCAGGGATTCCCCTCTCGTATAGGACAAAGTTGCACCCGGCGGCACGTGTGTGAATCGTGTAAAAAGAAAGAAAAAGAAAACAGACACGCCAAAGGTGAATCGTGTCGTGCGACCGGCTCGTGTTAAAATTCTTTCACACGGCTCCAGGGTGGCGACGAGCCAAGCCACGACGCACCATCAATGGGAGATCTGACGAAGGAGGAGAAGAAGGCTCGCAAGGCCGAGGTGCGGCCCAGCCCCTAACCGTGCGCGCGCGCCGCCGCCGCTTCGCCCGCTCACCTCTCTCCGTGCTGGTGCCCGCAGAAGGCGAAGAAGCTCGCGGCGGCCGAGGCGGCGCCGGCGGTGGACGAGGCGGCGGCCGCCAAGGCAGAAAAGAAGGCGAAGAAGGAGGCCAAGGCCGCCAAGGAGGCGGCGGCCGCGGGCGGCGACAAGAAGGAGAAGAAGAAGAAGCGTGAGAAGGAGGAGGAGCCGGTGACCGCCGATCCCCACCACCCCGCCTGCGCATGCCGCGCCCTGCGGCGCCTCTCCGCCGGCGCCGCCGCGCCGGTCCGCACCGTCCGCGGCTTCACGCCATGCCGCCGCACCACCGCGTCGTGCCACCGCCCGCCGGCGCCGCTTGCTGACGCCTCCTCGCCATCACCCCGCGCTCGCAGGCCGCCGAGGAGCCGCCGGCCAAGAAGGAGAAGAAGGAGAAGAAGGAGAAGAAGGAGAAGAAGGCCAAGGCGGAGGAGGCCGCGGAGGAGGCCGCGCCGGCGACGTCGGCCGCCACGCCCGCCGCCGAGGGGGAGGGCGGCCGCGTCTTCCTGGGCAACCTCCCGTGGTCGGTGACCGACGAGCAGATCAAGGAGGTCTTTGCCAAGTGCGGCGAGATCACGAAGATCGAGTGGCTCACGCACGCGGACTCGGGCAAGTTCAAGGGCGCCGGCTTCCTCCAGTTCGCCTCCGCCGCCGCCGCGGACGCGGCCACCAAGCTCAACGGAAACGACCTCGACGGCCGGGCGATGAAGGTTGAGATTGCGACGGCAAAGAAGGAGCGCGCGGGCGGCGCGGCGGGCAACAGCGACCCGGGCGAGCCGTCCAACTCGATCTTCCTGGGCAATCTTGCCTGGAACATCGAGGAGGAGACCGTGCGCGCCGCCTTCAAGGACTGCGGCGCCATCTCCCGCATCAAGTGGGTGGAGAAGGACGGCGAGTTCCGCGGCATCGCCTTCATCGACTTCGAGTCGGTCGAGGCGGCGACCAAGGCGGTGGCGCTCAACGGCGTCGACCTGGGCGGGCGGCCGGCGCGCATCAACTTCTCCAAGCCGCGCGAGCCGCGGCCAGCCGACCCGAACAAGCCGCAGCGCACCTACAAGCCGCAGAAGGAGAAGCCGGAAGGCTGCGTCGAGCTCTTCATCGGCAACCTGCCGTGGTCGATCGACGACGACAAGATCACGAACTTCTTCAAGTCGGCGGGCACCGTGACGAACGTGCGGTGGCTCAATGACCGCGAGACGCAGGAGTTCAAGGGCGTCGGCTTCGTCACCTTCAGCTCGACGGAGGAGGTCGACAAGGCGGTCGAGCTCGCGGGCGAGTCCATCGACGGCCGGCAGATCCGCATCGACTACGCGGGCCAGAAGAAGGAGGGCAACGGCGGCGGCAACCCGTGGCAGAAGAAGTGGTGAGCTGCCTCCGGGGGCGGTACGCGGATGGGTGCGGCGTGACGCGACTCTGCCCACGGCGGGAGTGAGTCAGCGAGGCCCTGCCGGCGCGGCATCCGCCCGCCTGTGCGCGCCGTTTCTCCCCCGGCGATGTCGGGACTCTGCACATCGACTCTGTTTTATGTGTTTTGTGTGTGCGCCGCACGAGAGAGTTATTGAGCGATGCCGATGGGCCGAGTTGAGTCTATGTGCGCGGCCACAGAGCTTATTGTGCGGCGGGGGGCGCCGCGCTCGCGCGCCACTGCGCACGTGCATCGATTCGTGTGCGCTGGTCCCACTGGTCGCTGGTTGGACCATACACGATACAGTTACAGAGGGAGCACAGTCCCACGCCCAATCCCCAAATACACAAACCTGTGCGCTGCGCGGGGGGCCCGGGTGTGTGCGGGGCCTCCACTCGCTCGCCCGTCCCGGCTGCCGAACGCTGCGAGTGCGACAGCGGCGACCACGCTGGCCGAGCACGCTGGCTCTCTCGTCTCTGCACGTCACTGCTGAGAGTTGAGTCGTGCATGTGAGACTGACAGACGCGGTTGCCGGTTCCGCACGCGTCACATCACATTCCGTCAAAACACACGCGGGATCACGCGACATCGTTGAATCCGGTATTTCGTATATACCATCGGTCTTAGAGCCCCCTAGGCTTAAAAAGTGGGCCCTCGGGCGCCTGCGGCATAAACGGCTTAAAACCTGCCCGGGCAGGTTTTAAGAGCTGCTGGGCCGCTGATTCCTTAAACGGTCTTAAACGCTTAAACGGTGCGGGAGAGCTCCCGAGGCGCGATGGTCCGGGAGGCTCCCGCAGGGCTCCCGGTAGACGCCGGGGAGGCCGGGAAGCTGGCTACAGTCAGCTGGCACGCGTCCCCTATGCGAGTATGGCTCCACCTGCCAGTGCACCAGACTTACAGATGTGTCTTCAGATGCCTAATAACGGCAGTATTGTGAAGAAAACGGCGCGGAACGCAGCGACGCGTGCCGGTCCGAGGCCGATAGGATTTTCTTAAACGGTCTTAAAAGAGGGACCCGCCCTGCCTGCAATCTCTTAAATGGCATTTTAAGCCCCCAAACCTCCTCATTTCTTAAAAGCTCTTCAAAAAGTGTCCGGTCCTCAGAACCCTAGGGGTACCCTAAGACCGTCTTACACTCGCTATAACGAACACCGTCCACGAGCGCGCGCCCCCCTCTCGCTCTCCCGACAACCCGCCCCCCTTTCGATTTTCTTCGGGGCACTCCGCGCGCGGCGCTCCGCACCTGTAACCTGTCCTTGGAGGCATGAGAGCGTAAGGCGCTGCTTCCCACATCTATTCATCATTTTGCAGCTTGGTTGGCGTTAACTAAGTTACCGTTAACCCCGCCGACGACTTGCTGTGAACTGAACGTTAGTCAGTCAGCGTACACCTCGTCACTAAATTTTCGCTATCGCGCGGTCTCGCTCTGGGCTCCTGATCCACTGTTTGCAACTGTCCACGTCGGCCGCAATGCCGGCCTCGACGCGCGTACTGCACCACTTGGGCACGAGCGGGCCGAACCGGTAGCGCGCGTTAATGCGTGGCAGGAGGAGTCCCTTGTGTGGCACGCCCATCGCCGTGAGCGTGTTGCGCATTGCCTCCTCGCTATTCTGGCCCCACTCCCGCTGGATCTCGCCGCGGCACGCAAGGTAGCGCTGGACAACCAGACGAGGCAGATTCTGTGAGGAGGCGCGAGGGGTAGGATACAGGTTGGTCAGGCTGCGAGGAGGCAAGAGATGGCTGTGAGAGAGCAGGCCGGGTGGGCGCTCTACGGACCGCGAAACGACGCGGCAGTAATATAAACATGTCGTTCTCCAGCACAGCCGGGTAGTACACCGTCGAGTTGGAGAAGGCGCACCACGGCTGGATGTCTTGCAACCAAAAATCGTCTGGACGTTGCCGAATGATCCAATCAAAGCGCTGCCCCGTCTCCTCCTCGTGCCTCGCAACGTCGTCGAAGCAGTCGGCCACGTCGCTCCACTGATGGAGGCAACGTAAAATTTGGTTCTTGTCGGGCACCCACCATTTCGATCCCGGAGGCCGGAGGCACTGCTCATTCGCAGCAAGATGACGGTTGTGGCCGAGCCGCCTAAGGTCCGCGCGGTGGCTGCGGTCGGAGCGAGCTGCGAGCAGAGAGCAGGGCGCGAGCCGGGGATAGAGCATCGTCCATCTAGGTGAAGCGCGTTACGAATTCGAGACGCGTTGGGTTGAGCGACGAGAGGGCCGGAGCGAGCTTTTGCTTTAGGGCCTTCGCTTCGGTCGCATTCGGCTCGGCTCTGGTCAGTGGCTGAAAGTAGAAGCCTCCGGCCGCCTCAGCGAGCATCAGGCGCATAAACACAGCCGCTGGCTTGCCTGTGGAAATCCAGGAGGAGCTTGGTGGGTGGGAACTTAAGTGGGCTGGCCGCTCTGCGCTAAATGTGCAGGCGCATTGACCTCCCCCGACAAAGGCCTGGACCAGGTGACGCAGGATGCCGCCGTGTATACGCCGCTGGCCGAAGGAGCGCACGGAGCCCGTGATGCAGACCGCAACGTTCGGTCCCGGCCCAGCGCTGCTGCAATCGCGTTGGCTGGAGGCCGACGGCATGAGCGCGAAGTTGCGGCGACCTGCACACACGCGTACACGTGTCTCGATGACGCTTTCCTCACGCTTTCCTGACAGGGATTTGCCCGCGAAATGAAGTCAATTCTCACTTGGGCCCTCGGGGAGGCCTGCGGGCGGCCTTCTCTCGAGGTCTCGAGATACACAAAGCGGCCAAGACTGGGATAGGGAGGGTCGATTCCGCGTACGCCGGTACGGGCAGGCGGGACCCCTCGATCGTCTCGCCCACCCTCACTGGTGTGTTCATTTGGGGGGGGTGGGGGGGTCATAGGCTCATAACAATCACGTTACAACTGTACAGGCATCGAGGTGCACGCTACTGACTGAAGCAGTGTCGTCGTCCCTCAGCCCTCTCCAAATGTCTCCATCTGCATCTCGTGACGTTCTCGATTCTCGTCTCTCACTGGGAGTGAAACAACAACAAGTAAATAAATAAATAAATAAAAACGGACACCTCTACTGTGAGATGGGTAAAGAGGAACAGGTCCCCGCCCTTGCGATCTTTGTGCACCAGGGTTCTTTGTGGGTGTGGTCGGCGACTAGCCGGGGTCGTCCTCTCCCGATGGGGGACTAGCACTAGCCGTCTTCCACATGGTCCCTCGGGTCCCTGCTGCTCCTAATCTCTTCGTACATCCTCCTGCTGATCTCCGCAAAGTCCTGCTCCCTCCCTCGTCTCGCCCTGCGCGTCTGCTCCGCCTCACCGTCGTCTGCCCTGCGTCGTCTGGCGACGGGGTCCTCCATAGTCGGTCGAGGTCGCCGCCCTCCTCGTGCCTCTTCCCAACGTTCCCTCGACGGCCGATGCCGTCTGCTCCAACTCCCCCGTCCCCGGGTCTGCCCTGCTCTCGTCTGCGCTAGTTTCTGTTTCGTCCTCACTGGTGTCCCTCCTCTTCTTTCTCCTCTTCTTGTATGCTTTGTACATCGCGTCGATTCCTTTTCGCGTGAGCACCAGCCTGAAGCCCGCCCAGCATCTGAACCGCTCCCTAAGTCGAAGGAGCATCATCAGTCTCACCCACTTCGCTCGCTGCCCACTGTCGCCGCTCCCTCCCCGCCGCTTGAGCCGCCGTCGCGGCCCTCGTTCGTCCCCCACTGGCTGTTGGCCCGTCCCTGCGTTGCCTGCGTTATCCCTCCTCCTCCGCGACTCCCTCAAGGCCGGCCGGGCCTCCTTCCACCCAGCGAAGAGCTTCCTCAGCCACTCGACGTGTTCCTCTCTCTCTTCAACAAAAACAAGTAACAACACACGTGACCTAAGAGAGCTAAGTCTCTATAGTCCAACACGAAACCACTTTGTGTCGTGTGTGATGCTGATGGATATGTTTACCTTACTTACGTTACTCCCCTTTCCTTATACCGACGTAAGCAACAAGCCATCGGAATATGTGTCAAGACGTTTCTATTATTACCCGGACTGCACCTCAACCTGCTCCTGTGGCAGAAGATTGACCGCGTCGAGCCTGCCCGGCACCGCCCCCTCGGGCTCCGCCTCCCACCGCAGCACATCCGGCGGGACGACAAGTGCCACCGGCGTGACGGCAGTCACGGCACCGCCCACGCTGCCGCCTGCGCCGCCCGCGCCGCACAGAGCGTCGTGACCGAGGCCCCTCCGGTCGCGCTGCGTCGGCTCGCCCGAGACTGAGCCGGCGGCGGCGGCGCCCCTCTGCCCAATCGGCGCACCGGGCGACCAGCCGAGACGCTGCAGCAGGCGGTGGCCGACGTTGCTCGCGTCGAGCGGCGCGGGCGCGGCCGCCGGCGCGGGTCGGAACGCCTCCACGCACGAGAGCAGCGACTCCTCATACCGCTCGTCGTCAGAGCAGCTGTCAGCGCGTCCGCCACGAGCGCCGCCCGCGAGCGGCGGGGCAGTCGCCGGCGTGGCGGCCTCCTCCAACCTGCGGCGCTTGGCGGCGGCCTGCTGCTCGGCCGTATTGGCTGCGTACGCCGAGGCGGCGCATGCCGTGCAGCGGCCCTTGCCCTGCGGCGAGCGCTGCCGTGCCGAGAAGCTGCGGAGCGGGAGGTGTCGTCCGCATCCGGTGCACGCGAGCGTGGCGTCGGCGGGAGGCGGCGCCGCGCGCGGCCGCTGACGGCCCAGGTCGGCGAGAGGGCGGCCCGCGAGGCCCTCGGCGACCTTCCGCTCGTGAAGGCGTGGGTTGGAGCACTGCAGGCACTTTCGCTTGCCAGAGACGAGCTGCGCGTCCGAGAAGGCGTCGAGCGGCTTTTTCTCGAGGCAGCGCGAGCACGTCGGCATCGCCTTCCTGGGTTCCGGCTCCGAGATTGAGCGATGGCTCGCCGAGCGGAGAGGTACGAGCGGCGCGGAGCCTTTCACAGCCTTGTTTTTTGAGAAGAATTTTATTGCGAAGAAATCCGTAGCTGTGCGTCTGAGAGCGACGCGACAGAGGAGGAAGTGACAAGGGAAAGAACGACGAGAGTGGGATGACCGCGAGGTGAGAGAGAGAGAGAGATCTTCTTCTTCTTCGAGGTGGCATGAAGGTTGCAGCGAGAATCGGCGAGAGACTGCGAAGAGAGATTGTAGGTATATGATAGGAAGAGGCGGACACCCAAGCGCCAAGGGTGGGCGACGGCTAGCGCATCACACCCCTCTCCTTAAAATGCCTGTGTGGTGGCGGCGTGCCGTTCTCCCATCCCTCCCTTGGCTTGTCCGTTTTCTTTCTTTCTTTTTGTGCGTCTGTGAGAGGTTGAGGTGCGAGCCCTGGAGGCCCTGGGGATGGGGGGAGACTACCCGCGGGCCTATTCACACACACCGGAGTACTGGTGCAACCAGCCCTCACACACACAGAGCCTGGCTCTCTCTTCTTCTCTCTCTCTCTGCTGTGAAAAAAGATTTAAGCTACGTTCCTACGACGTGCGGCTCAAGCGGGAGGGAGCGGAGACGGTGGGCAGAGAGCGAAGTGGGTGAGACTGATGATGCTCCTTCGACTTAGGGAGCGGTTCAGATGCTGGGCGGGCTTCAGGCTGGTGCTCACGCGAAAAGGAATCGACGCGATGTGCAAAGCATACAAGAAGGGGAGAAGGAAGAGGAGAGACGCCGGTGAGGACGAAGCAGAAACTAGCGCAGACGAGAGCAGGGCAGACCCGGGGACTGGGGAGCCGGAGCGGACGGTATCGGCCGCCGAGGGAACGTTGGGAAGAGGCACGAGGAGGGCGGCGACCTCGACCGACTATGGAGGACCCGTCGCCAGACGACGCAGGGCAGAAGACGGTGAGGCGGAGCAGACGCGCAGGGCGAGACGAGGGAGGGAGCAGGACTTTGCGGAGATCAGCAGGAGGATGTACGAAGAGATTAGGAGCAGCACAGGGACCCGAGGGACCATGTGGAAGACGGCTAGTGCTAGTCCCCCAATCGGGAGGACGACCCCGGCTAGTCGCCGACCACACCCACAAAGAACCCTGCACAAAGATCGCAAGGGCGGGGACCTGTTCCTTTTTACCCATCTCACAGTAGAGCGGTGTCCGTTTTTATTTATTTATTTACGACGTGCATGGCTGAGCCGCCCAATGGCGCTCGCCCACTGGCCTACCACAGCCGAGAGAGCTTTTTCAGAGAGATCTTTCTTGTTGATTTTTCAATACCAAACAACTCTAACACTCACACATCATTTGGGGCCTGGAGCCCCTGGAGACTGAAGTTTATGGGCGTTTAACGTAAGTACGTTTGGGGGGGGGGGGGGGGCAGATGGTCGGTCGTTCGGTTCATTTGGGGCGTTTGGAGGGACGATTTTGGGGATCCTGCCGACGCGCTAGCCCCACTGTAAATACGATGGACACCTCAACGGGAGGGCACTCGCAGCAGGCGGGGCCGAATCCGGCAGCCTTAGTCTTGGCCCGATCCGGCGGCATGCCACGGGTAGGCGCGTTGAGGCTTGTCGCCTCCTCTGCGCCAATGCGGCCTGTGCCGCAGCTTGCGTTTGCTGCCAGACAAGAGGAGGAGCAGGGCCGTTTGGCGATAGGGCCAGGCAATCGTATTCGCCCGGCGGGCGTTACGGACTCGAGCAACACCCGGGTCGAGGTTGCTGCGCCTCTCGGTGCAGTGCTGCAGCATTGTACGCCTGTTGCGGGCGATGGAGCATCAACGGCAGCCGGAATCCTGGCTATCCGGATGCCCTGTTCATTCACGCGCGCGCGAGACGTGCAGACAGGGTTGCCAGGTGAGAGCGAATGGCGCGGTTCACGCCTCGCACAACAGAGAGAGAGATGCGCTCTGCATGGTGGGACATAAGAAATCACAGCCGAGCGCGCCTCGCGCCCGGCTCTGGGCCCCGCGACAACACTTCGCGCAGTCTTGACAATGGAAATCGACCGGCTCCGCTCTAGCCGGCCGTCCTGCTTCTGAGAGAAAAAGTTTTGTCGACGGAAGTTGCTACAGAGCCAACCACAGCTGCGGCCAAAACGCCCTACCTTCCTATCTATTGCATAGGGTGTCACCGCGTAACAGACCCTTCTGGAAAGTGGTACCCAAAACAAACAAAAAGAAATCGCTTCGCGCGTAGGCGCCACTGCGCGCTGCATATCTCTCGGCTGCATATCTCTCGCCGCATATCTCTCGGCTGGGCCGCTGACGGCCTCGATTCTGCCCCTACGTCCGCAGGCTCACCGACGAGTGGCCTGCTTATACACACGTGTGTGTGTGAGCACTCACATGCTCCCGACGCTGCACGACCACCTAGTGGCGGCCTACGCGGAGTCCGGCCGGCCGTGGCCGCCGCGTGCCTCGACCCGGACGACGCCGCCGCCGCCAGCCGCCGCCCAGCAGGCTGAGCACCTCGAGCATATCTGCTCGTGGCACGCCGGGTGCTGCAACCCGTTCTTTGTGGCTCCGCTCCCCGAGCGCCGTGCTCTCGTCGCGGACTATGGCCACGGGACGATCGCGGTGGTCTGCCTGCTCAGTGGCTCTATCCTGCACGTGATCTCTCTTCCGCCGCATACCGAACCGTGCGGCTCTTCGGCCCTTCGCCGACCGCTCGGCGTGGCGAGGTCGGCAGCCTTCCTCTACGTCGTTGACGGCGCGGCCGCCTGCGTGCTCCAGCTCGACCTCGAGGGCCGCCTCGTCCGCTCGTTTGGAGGGGGGGGCGACAGCGGTTTGCGTGCGTGCGGCGACGACGCGAGCCTGCCGCTGCTGGCGCCATACGGATGCGCCTTTGCTGCGGCCGAAGCGGGAAGCGCGTGTGGCGGCTCCGAGCGGCGCCACTCTGCCGGCGCGAGAGAGCCGCTGCTCTACGTGGTCGACTCTGGCCGCCACCGCGTGGTTGCGTACTCGGCGGACGGCAGGCCGCGCTTTGCCTTTGGGAGGCGTGGCTCGGGGGCGGGGTGCCTGCACGACCCTCGCGGCGTTGCGGTGCACGGCGGGACGGTCTGGGTTGCGGACATGTGCAACCACCGCGTCGCCCTGTTCACGGCAGAGGGCGCTCCCGCTGGTGCCTTTGGGCGGCACGGGTCAGGCCCT